TCTTTCCCACCATTATTTCCACCACTATGAAATTAAAATCTTCACCCAAATGTATTAGAAAGAGAGATTTAAACTGTGACCAGCACATAATGAGCACAAATACATTTGCATTTAAAATACAAGGCCTCAAACTTCTCCAGCATCAGTGAAGGGTTGATACACTGCTGCTCAATCCTTTCACCTAAAAACATAAGTGAATGAGTTTAAATATTAGTTTCTATAATACTACTTTCCCTCAGCTTTCTTTATGTTTATGGTAATACAAGAAATTAGAAGCAGTTTCTTTACATAACCTTAGTACTTTCAATTTTTCAAAAAATTAAATAAAAAACCACCATTGTCCAACTCAGTTTCTTTCCCCTCCATGCCTCTAGTGCCCAATTTCAGATGAGGCAGATCTCTAAGACTCAATGCTCATCACTTGGGGAAGGAGAAAGGCAGTGAAAGGAGGGAGACAGAGAAAAGGGAGATCAAACTTTATTCTGTAACGTTACAGGATGCACATGCATGGACGTCACTTATGAGGTTTAATTCCTGCCATACAACATTGCAATATATGCTGGATACTTCTACATTATTTCATGCATTGATATGCCTTCCTCCACTTCTGCAGACTAAGTCTTGATGAGTTAAATCTAATTTTGGGAAAGCTGAGAACGAAGTCATTTCTACGCAAAGCAACTGTATGAATTGATGTTCTTGAAGTCTTCAAATCCCTCCAAGCTTAGCATTAACCTTTTTGTCCTCAATATGCCTTTACATGACAGAAAGCTACTTTAAAATGTTTTTCAGACCTTGATATGTCCACCAAATGTATCGTAATTGAAGAACTGACACTCCTTTTCACGATAGCAGGTATCTTCTGTCTCCCCCTTGATTAAGATGTTCCTTGTAAGAACTCCAACTTCTGCCCTCATGTCCACTCCATCAATAACTTCTCCTACATGAGGAAACTGAGGATTTTCTGTCCAAAAACAGTGTGTGGGGGGGAAGAGTTGTCATTGATTAAAACCAAAACCAACTTATTTTATATAAGCAAGCTAATTGTAGCAACAAAACCCACGCATTCTGATACCTTAACATGCTGTTCTCTCTTAGCTTAGGCTGTGGTTGACTCAATGATGGTTAAGCATCTTGCAGGATGACAAATCAAGTATGCTACTCCACGTTTCCTTCCAAAACAAAGTTCTGTCTATGTATTTTTCATTTTAGTAAGACAACTAATCCTAAACAAATCCCAACATTTTATTTGCAAGTGCATCTTAATTTCAGTCCAATAGTTTGTGAACAGGATGGATAAAACACAAAGAAAAGTTTAAATGAATCCAATACATCTAGAAAACTTTTAATGAAACATAGATGCAGATTAGCTTTAAAAGAAAAAAAGATGTTGGCTGCTTAATCTGTTCCGAAGAAAAATTAAGAACGGAAAGGCCAAAACACCTTTAGAAAATACCATAGTCATCCCCCTCTGAAAGAAAAAAAGATTTGCTTTCCTAACTAAATTTGCTCTTTCCTTGACAGCTATTCTGAGGACGCATAAACTAAAATTAGGGAAAACAAGATACTCTGGTTTTACACTGTTCTTCCAAAGAAACAATCAATTTCTTATTTGTCTATACAAACTGAGAAAATTATAAGGTCCTGTAAACCTTAAAAAATGTATTTATGTGTTTATTTTTTAAAAACATTTTTTTTCCTTTTTTTTCCCCTCCATTTATTGATTCCCTGGATACAGACTGTCACTATTCCTTCAAAGCTGACAAAAGCATACAAGCCTAAACTGGTCACTACCACAATATGAAGCAGAACCAAGAGTGGTATTAATTCTGTACCTGCTGTTGAGGATTTAAAAAGACAATAGATGCCTGTAAAAGGGACTGCACTCCTCTCCTTGAAGACTTACCTATTGTTTTTCCCTATATTTGACTAGCATACATAAATCAAGCTAAGAAAGATCAACTAGGCCTCCTACAAAACAATACTTTTTAGTTTTCCTACTACAAAGGGGCCAAAATAGCTAAAAACTTAGCAAAAAATACAAGAAATAATTCCAAAAGATGGTAAGTTCTTCAGCATGTCAAATTTGGCATTTCACAGAAAATTCATTCTTTGTGGAACAAACATATAGGGTGGTTTGGGGATTTTTTAAAACAGTATCTGTAACTATGACAAAGGAAACCTGATACAGAGGGTGAAAAAAACCAAGATGGGCCAGTTCATCTCCTTTAACATCTTTTGAAGACCTATATATAGTTCAGATAGCATTTATTTTCAAAAAAAAAAAAAAAAAGCCAAGATTTTGTATTTTATGCCATATTGTAAATCTTGGGAAAAAAAGGGTTTTTTAAAATCCTTTAAAAGCAGCTGCTTTTTCACAGTACATGATTGCCGAGCTGAAACAGAGTTCGCACATACACTATTCAGCGGTGACAAAAGCCTTAAACTTCATACCGCACCCTTCAAGTTAAGCTTGCTCTTTAAAATACTGTGCTCAATAACACACACAACATGAGACACTTAAGAACAAAGCCCAGGAAGTGTCATGCTCAACTGCACTAAGTCAGCTCCGCGGCTTCATGCGCCCTGCTATTCTCTGATGTATATAATAAGGTGAGCTTAGATACGCTTTTTCCAGATCTGGGACTTCACAATGCAGTAAAACATATCTGACCCATGCTAACGAATGCTGTGGGATGCAAACTGCACTGCAAAGTGGACATACAAACTGGCAGTCCCTTAAGACATGGGAGAACAGGGAAGTTTGCGGGTGTTCACAGAAAACTCTCCTCTTCCAAGAACAGAGAAAGAGGAGTGGTTTGAAGAAGAGGAAGTCACACCATACAAAGGTGAATGGGACAAAAACCGATCCTGCAGAGCACTGATCGGCTGCTGCAAACTAACACTGCAGAAGAACACTGGTTAGTTTGTGCTACAAACTGACGCTGCAGCCCACCAGAAGGGAGCGAGCGGGGAAGCTCAAGGCCTGAGGCTGGTGGACCACCAGGGACGAGGACGCTGGCATGGGAGGGGGCGCGGAGTGGCAGAAGGAAAACACCGATGCCAGCAGAGCAGGGGAGCCAGTCCCACGGGAGGCTCTTGTGAAGTCATGCAGAATGACTCAGATAATAAAAAAGGAAACGGTCAACAACACGCATGATCATTTTGCGCGCATCACGCCCAAAGGAAAAACAGATTGCAAATACTCAGGGATATCCTGTGTGCGCAGAGGCTTGGAAGTGCCACTTATTTCATAACCATTTTGCTGGGGGGTGGAGGGGGTGGGGGAGAGATAGGTTTAAAGATTGCCATTTTCTTTTTTCTTCTTTTTTTTTTTCTTCTTTCTCCTTTTTTAATAACAACAGAAAAAATTATAATGATAACACTTCAAAAGATAGGAAGGGCACTAAAGGCAAAGGAAATGGTAATGACCACAACAGCCATTCAAGCACATATGAAGAGAACTAGTGAAAAGACAGAAAGGAGCCAAGAAAGGAAAACAAGCATAATCCTCTTGGAAGAAAACTAAAACATTCAATGAGCCTGGGAAGAAAGGAAAAAGAAAAGTTAGTATGGTAAGCTGTGAGGCAGACCTGACATTATACAAAGCAATTTTATAGCAAGGAGAAGTACAGGTTCCTGTATACAGCAACATAGACAGCAACCAAGACAGGTGAACAGGCTGTTCTTTAATGCTCCCGCTGAAAGGGACTGTCCAGGGTGTACTACCATGAATACGTATTTCACACTAATCTTCAAGTGGTGACTACTCTCATACCTTTGACTTTGACTTGATGCGTCATACACTCTGGGCAGGGAAGGAGGGTGAATTCCTCTGTCTGATACATTGAATAGTCTGTGCTTGCGACCACAATCCGGTCTCCAGGCTCCCAACTACTAACATCATCCAGAAGATTCAGTATCACTCCACCTACAGCTTCTACCTGGAAGCCTGAAATTGGGACACCTAATTAAGAAAAAAAAGTAAACACAACATAAGATTATATTCACCCTTATGTGAAACCATCTCCGAGAAGATACTAATAAGAAATGTATGAGATTTCACAAGCTCCAAAGCCCTCTAAAGTACAATTCTGCCCAATGTGCCAGTGTGAGATACCATTACAGCCTGTTTATTTGGTGGATCTCAGATAAAACAAATGGAAAAGATGAAACTAACAGTGACAGGACAAAAAAAAAAAATCTATGATTTTAAAAAAAAAAACAAACCCTAACACCATATGGCAACAATCTGTAGGTCCAGCTACCTCTGCTTGTTTCAAGTGACATTTTTCTACCTTTTAAAAGTCTACAGATGTAATCAAGGACCTGGCAAAACAAAGTAGGGGGACTTTCCTTTTTATTCACAACTAATAAAACAGTTTGGCAGGCTAAGTTACACACGCATGCGATTTCACTGCCTTGTGATGAATTTGCATAAGTTCAGCAGCTCTTACTCTTGACCCTAAGTCTACAGTACCAGCAAGTAAAAGATGTATTTTGGTAGATTTTTTTTTTTTAATATAAGTCTACACATTTTCATAGGGCTGTAATGAACAGCAAAGGAGTAGTATCAAATAGCTCAATTACTTAACAAATAAATATCCCACTAACTCAAAAAAATACTTGAGGCAAATACAATATTGCTCAGTAATTCTACAAACAGAAAAAGATGACTGCCAATAAAAAGCAAAACTCAGATCAAAGGTATCTTAAATACAAAAATGAATAAAGGATAAAAGCAAATGAGTGATAGGTCCTCCAGGCTCTTTACACCACAGATTCAACTTGGTATGAGAAAAAGCTCAGAGGCTTTGATTTAAAATAGAAATGGACATTACTAGAAGGAAAAAAAAAAAAGTCTGTTACAGCCTTTTTGTAAGACCCCTTATCTCTATCTAAATATATTAAAAAAAGACGACTCTTAATGTTATGCTGTTCACATACCATATACAAACAGATTGAGAAAACAGGCTGTACTGAAGAACTGTGTCCTCATACTTCATCCATAGCAAAAAAACCCACCCCAAACCCAAAAAACCCCAACTTACAGCAGCACTCAGAAATTTAAATTGCAACCAACAGTTCTAGCAAAAAAGCGTACACAATATTTTTTATTCCTTCCCTAACTGCAGGATTTCACAAAATGCTTTCCTACCATCATTCCATTCGCTATAAGCTCTCACAACAAACTTCTGACCATCCACTGTGAAAAACTCTTTCTGAGCAAGAGCTTTCCCACCAGTGCTGTGATTTTCATAGTTTCTCACTGATTCATTGCAGGAAGAATTTCCACCACCTATGACACCAACAAAAGCCCAGGCTTGTCTGTGAAAAACAAAAGTAAATGTTTAAATATAACGGTCCTTAACAAATTCTTCAAACAGTTAAAGGACAAGACAAGGAGCACAGAAGTCATAAATAATCCTTTTGCCGGCTCTTCCAAATTGATTTTAAAATGCAACTTCAAAATGCAGAAGAAAAATGGGCAGACCTCATTGAAAAGAAACATAGTTTGAAATAATTGGATGCACTATATACAAATCAGCAAATACAAGAGCTCTTAATGGAGAAGACTTTCAGGTACGTTTTTAACACAACATCCAACAAGATGCAATTTGCTTTTGGAAAAAGCATAAGAGACAAGTGACAGAAGCAATACAGGATCCTACTCTCAAACAGCTTTACTGGGGGACAGGAGGACTAGCAGCCAGTGCCGATGCTCCCGCTGCAGCCTGCAGCCGTCTTGGCGCCGTGGCAAGCAGCATCCCAGAGCAGCGGCCAGGAGTCCCAGGAGACCACGCATGCATCAGGCTGGGAGGGATGGACACAGCCAGCAGCAGCCACTGGCGATCACTGTACTGGACGGGCAATACCTTTTGAATCTTTCAAGATGCTTAGATCCAGAAAAGGCACCACATACTGTTGCACAACCTTTGCACGAGGGATCACCGATCTTTCTTAAGGCTAAGACCAAGGATTTTTGCTTTTCCCCCCTTCTCTGGCCTTCCCCTCAGCTGGACATCTACTTGGCTGAGCACTGGCATGGAGCAGGGAACTGTCCTGGATGTACTTCCCCTTCCTACCGCTCTGCTCAATGCATCCAAGTGTTTTGGAAATGAACAGCAAACGGCATGCCACAGAAAGCTGCCACCGAGTTCAAAAAACAAGGCTATTTTGCTGTCCTTTACTGCTGTGTAATGCCATAATTATGTGTGCAGAGGAAGCAGTCGAGATCATCTATTAATAAGCTGAACATTTTTGCATCATTAAAGTTGAATCATTCACCCCAAATGAAAACAGTGTCTACTAGCTGGACTGTACTCTGTTGCTAATGACTGATTCAAAACCAGGTATTAAACCCACCTTCAATCCAGCTGCCTTTATTTCAGTCCCCTCATGACATTCTTATTGATTGGCATTTAAAAGGCCAAATGAAACTTAGCGTTAACCTGTTCATAACAGTACATACTGGGCCAGCTCTCAGTAGTATTAGCAAACAAGCTGAACGTTTCACATACCAACACTTAAAATAAATTTCAAGATATTTTAATGCATGCTGTTGTGCAGGAAGAGGCAGAAGGGGAGGGGGATGTAACGGAGTATTCACCTTCAATGCTGAGATCTCCTTCGCTAGCTTTACAGGTTTAACAAAACAACCCTGCTTTTCCACAGTAAGCACTCAGGGAAAGCTTCTCACCCATCTTCCACAGCAGAACAAGACAATTTTATGTGATTACAGAGCCTCTACCGACTAATGAAAACAGACAAGAATCAGTTCAGCAGAGAAGGAAGAAAGGCTGCTTCTTCTCAGCTGCAGGCTGAAGAAGTTCCTCATTTCAGACAAACCGGGTCTGTCAAACCTCAGGTCACAGGCAGAGACAAACACCAGAAACCCACACCTCCAGGCCAGGTCGGGGCTGGCTGCACGGCGACCTGAACAGCCGCCACACGGGCTTCACGGCTTTCACGAAGCGGTACTTATTACAGGACATCCAGGTCTCAGCACCTCTGGCCAAACTGCTTCAGAGGCAGTGCTGCAAGCACTTTCCATCCCACGACCACATGCTTACGCAGCCACTGACACAAGTGTGCTCCTGACGGGAACCGAGGTCAGAACACGCCATCCTGACTGACGCCCCGGCCCGCCTCTGCCAAAGCAGAGGGAGGAAGCTAACTGGAATCCAGATGTTGGGGGATAGTGAGGGGTAAGAATAGAACGGAAAAACTGTCTGATTTCCTGGAAAATAGAAACAGGTTATACAACACCATCTTAATGGAAGCTGAAGAACGGACTGACAGTTAGTTAGGAGACTTGGTGCCCTTTCACTTGTATTGCTAAACCCGTGCAGCACAAAGCCAAGTTAAGAGCATGCACTGCAAAAAGTCATTAGCAACAACTAAATGAACGGCACAGCAGTTTAGGTTTCCTGCTTTAGTAATTCCTATTATACCTCTTCTCCTGTCACACCACCCAAACCCTGACCAACTGAAAAGAATGGTCAAAAGATACAGAAACACCTTACAAGTGTACTTCAATAACAAAATATTTTTACAGATCAGTTCCCTTGCAGAATCAGTGGAGGGGTAATGTACTTTCATTTCAACAGCGCACAGGTATGAATAAGATGCTCTTTGATACACAGGATTAGCATCCCTTCCCTGTATTCAGTTTCTAGCTTGGCATTCCTTGCCCCTCCCTACATAAAGTCATACACATTAAAAGCTTCACCTAGCAACTGTTTGCTATCAGTGTGCTTGAACGAAAAAAGTTCCTCCCTGCACCCAGTTTTAATTCCTGTAAAGAACAGTGAGAGACAGCAATTACGAGTAAGTAATAAAGTCTATCACACAGATACTTGTAACTATCAGTCTCTGCACTATCAAAATACTGCACAGTGAATACTACTACTGCAGTATTACGTACAACACTGAGAATCCTCTGAAGACTTTAAGAACAGACACCGTCAAAGTCTATCAAATCCCCCAAAGGTGGCAGGATCTGTATCTAATCTTTACTCAGCACAAGAGTGAAAATAAATTATTTACCTGTAACTCAATCCTCTGACAAACTTACTTCCCAGAAGATTTTGAATAGTCACTCTGGTTTCCTCCAGTAGATTTTTAGCAGCTGAATCTCCTACAGCAATAGCAACAATGCGACCAGGACTTCCATTTTTCAGTAAGTTCTGGAGCTTCAAGCTTTCTTCTGAGAATTCATGAGTATCAAACTTCAGCACTTCCAAAATCTCTGCTGTGTCCTGATCGATCACTCTCACATTTAGTCCTCGGGAAAAATTCTTTTTAAATGTATAATGACCATAGGCCAGCCCTGAGAAATACATAGTCTTTGACAGAAGAGTCCATGATAACTTCTGGTGCCCGTGCAACTCCAGCGTTCCTTCAGGGCCCACACCAATAAATTTTTTGCCAAATTCTGGCACATCAGCACTTTCGTTTGACTTCCCATACAAAATAATAGTTGCTTTGGATTTATAGCGGCATTTCTCTGCTCCAACATGAAGCATTCCACCATCCTTTATCAGGATAAATCGAGTTCTCAAGGTAATATTTTTAGAACCTTCTTTATCATCACCAAAAACAAGTAACCCTAGAGGAAAAAAAAAATATTTATGTAGGTCAAAGCAAAATTCAGATAGTCTCAAAGAACCAAGTTCTGCAATAAGAACAACAGAAAAATTACAGATTTATTTTCCACACCCATGAATCAAGCTGTTATGCTCTTATGTATGTTTAAGAATATTTGGGAAAGTAACTCCTACCAATTGTGATTTATCTTTCTAAGAACTTGGTCGGTTTATCCCTAATTTTTTCTGCCATTTTGGTAGAATTACTAACATACCACAGTCACCATCAGAAGACAATTAGATCTTGTACAAGGAAGGTACTACTACACAAGACTTGTTTTACTGTATCCTACAGAAAACCACATCAATTCTCCACTGAAAAGACTCTACAGTGTTCATTTATCTTTTTAATGATATTCCTGGCCTGGTAGTAGACTGGAAAGTAAAAGCAGGGGAACTGGTCAATAAGCTACAACATAAAATTCCAACACATTTTTCATGTAATCACAGAAGTAAAAACTGTGCAGTAAACCGAAGAGTGATATTCATCTTGCCATTTCATACCTCCATCCTGTATAACTATAGAGTGTACTGTAGCATCTGAGTTCAGACGAAACAAATCCCCTTTTTTGATAAAAACTCTCTTTTCTGGATCTTTTCCAGGGCTCCAGTTTTTAAGACGAGGATTCTGATCAGGACAATTCTCTGCAATACAATGTGAAATTCAGCTTTTAAAAAACAAGCATCATCACATCAATCAAGGCAGCAATAGGATGAACATGAGCAAGGCAGAGTCAGTCACCCACAAAGGATTCCCACCTCCTTCTGTGGTTACAATACTGCAGCCGCTGATGCTACTGTTTGTATTTGAGCAGCCAAAAAGATACCTGAAAGGTGGCTAAACTCTCAAGGGTGGGAAGGCATTCTTATACTGAATTAAACTACTGATGACCATAGACTGAGCTGCCCACAAATACTGTTGACAATAGATACCTTCAAACCCCATCTGATATTTTTGATATTTTCTACATCACCTGCAGTAGATGAGGAGAGGTAAGTGGGAAGCATGCAGATCCACAGCAGTCACACTGCGCACTGGATGTCCTAGGCCAGCTACCGAGGCCAACTAACGTGGTTGTAAAGCATCTAAATATCTCATCTCCCTCACGGTCTCTCCCTGTGTGAGAAACGCTGACCCCTTCTTGCTTTTAAGCATCCAAATCACTTCTTTCAGTGTAGGTTTGCAGGTAATGGATAAAGAGGGACAAGACATCCTTAGTATAATACCTTACTGGTTAGAGCAGTTTCCTGGGAGACAAGACATTTAGGTCTAAATTCACGGTTTGTACTCCTTAGAAAGTCAGCTTAAATATCAGGCTACAAACCACTCAAGAGCAGACACACATGCAATCCTTACTGAAACCCTGCTGAAGGTCTGGCACTACACAGGCAATAACACCATACTACAATGCCAGAAAAGGAGAAGCAGCAGCAAGAAGTGACAGGGTTGTGTGATTTCAGATGAAGTTATAGCAGTGTAGTATTTACAACACACACATCTTTAGTGTATTACGCAGCTGAGTAATGCAGCAGCATAGACACACTTCAAAAACAGAAAGGGAAGTATATTCCTTGGATTTTCTAACCAAAAGAAAAGTCAGACTGAAAAATATTTTTCTTAAGCAAAAGACAACCATAAAGATGCCAAAATAAACAGGTTAGCAGCCCAACTGAGAGTAACAGTCAAAATAGCCTTTTCACACCTTATCTTCTGGAGAAAAACACCCACACATCTGCAATGCAACTTTGGGGGCAAAAAGCTATAGGCAATAGCCCATTCTTGCAAAATCTAAAGAAAGTGAAACCTATCCACAAGTTTAACACAAGCCAGCCTTAGTTTTGCTGACAGAAATGTTTTTCCTTTGGTGTTAACTCTCCACATTTCAAACCCTTTCCAACTCAGGAAACCCACATAAACCAAGATTTGACTACCAGTGGGAAAAAATTAGCAAAACTGCGTAAGGGCAAAAGGCATTAAAGTAGTAATATAAAAATAAAAACAAAAGAAAATCTTTTGGGGTGATCCTAAGACGACAGCATTTAGAAAATGAAATTCAATACATGAGAGAAAAGCCAAAAAGCAAGAAGCATTGCTATCAGCAAGACTGTTGAGCACTCACCGCATAAATGCAAGTCTATTGCCTGACTCATACAGAGTCACTAAACCCCTTCCCCCAGACACCACACACACAAGCACTGTGAAGAAACATGTATTTCCTGGCTGTTAGCAAAGGGCAATGTGAGGAAACCATGAGTCAGCAACCTGATGATTTCTGCTTAGCGTGATTCACAGAAGAGAAGACCTAGTAACTGTAAATTTTTCTGTTGAGTCAGAAAGAAGAGGTATAGCACAGTAACTAAAAAAAAAAAATTAAATCTATTGTATGTTACAATCCAGCAAGGAAGCCATCAGCATCAGAAATAGGCACTCCTGTAATGCAAGCATGCTTCTGAAGCATGGTGGATCAACTCTTTGGCAAGCAGATCAGATGCGCTTAGCAAAAGTATTTTGAAATTCTCCCTTAGCAATTGCAGTGGGGTGCAGGGTAACATCAAATATTTAGTACTTCACCACATGTTACCTCCACAATTACTGATTAGATTTTACAGGCCACAGTCATTGCCTCCACAGTTAAGGTTAAATGAAAACAGAAGCACAGACCAGAAAATGTTAGGTAGTTATGGCCTTGCCAAATTTAACCACTCATGCTGAAAATTTTTCAAGTCAAGCCTCTGCTTCAGACCATTTTTATAAAAAAGGGTCAGCTCTCCTTAAGGTTTAGTTGCTTCTACTAGGGTTGGGAGGGGAGGAAGTGATATTTTTGCAAATGGTGGAGGGGGGAAAAAAAAAACCACCAAAAAACCAGCCTGCCAAAAAAAAATTCTAGAACATTCCATGTGCTGGAGCAAGGATATGAAATTTGGCAGGAGAAAAGGCAGGAAACAGTTCTCAAGATGTAGTTAAATAGTTCCTTTCTACCTGCTTAGCCACCATGTCTGGAGTTTTTAAGGCCTCTGGGAAAAAGTTATCAGTGTTATATTATGCTCAGCAGAAGTTTATCACAGTTTGGCAGCTAAATTTTCTGAGGATCCTGTTTACCCTGGGCAAGCTCCAGCCAAGAGCTGCAAAAGCCAAGCAGAACTTTTCCCTGAAAACCTCCCCAGCTTGTCATCCTAACCCTGCAGCACAAGCCCCTGGAAATGGGGAAGGAAATTGCATTTCCAGTGCTTTCCCTGATCTCCAATGTTCAGGACTCCTTAGGAAAAAAGATGATGACAGGAAGATAAAAACAGGGAGAAAAAAATAAACCAGCTGACAGGCAGGAACAGAAATGCAGACAAGTATCATTTTCCCTCTGGGGAAGGTATGCCGGAGGTTTAGGATTTACACGCAATTACTACTAAGTCTCACATTCCCTCCACTGCCTTTTAAACAGCCATTAAAAGTACTGACAATATGGATTTCCAATTAGCCTTTAAGAAGAACACACCTAGCTGAACGGGTGTCGTTGGCTGCAGTACCACATGTGCTAGGTTGGGGCTAGGTGTATTAACATTTCAACCTGTTGGGAAGCTTTTGGGGAGTTGCTGCAACAATACTGCAAGATTAAAATTTCAGCCAGACTTTCCTTGGTGCCTGTAGGAGTTTCTCTTGTGTCAGGGTTTCCAAAGGATTCTATGGGTGCATGTTGTTTTTTTTAAAGGATAATGCAGGGGAACTTCAGAAAGACACAATGCAACAATTAATGCTGAAAACTGGCCTGGACTTCTAGCAAGAAGCAGTGCAATATTGAAGGAAAGCAGTCACAACCTTAAGTAAGGGCTAAGGAGTAACCTAAGTCATTACCGTAGACAAAAAAAAGCCCATCTACTAAATCACAGCAACTCTTCCTGCAACATCCTCAGTACCCACGGTGATCCAACCACCACGTGCTGACCATGCATTCAGTGCAAAAAATCTGCACAACTCTATGCCTCTGGAATGAGCTACTGAGGATGAACCAAAACCATTCCAAAACCACTTACCTTTTTTAAAAAGGCAAGCCATCTCCTTCACATTATCAGCTTTTAAAGCATAAAGGGACTATTATTTTATGTATCCCACAGCACACAATAACAACCCCACTTCTAGCAAAACCATCATCAAAATCTACAACTTTTAGTTAATTAAAAGTTAAAGTCTTGGTATCAAAGCACAAAGGTTCCCCCTGCCACCGCCCCACCCCCCCGCCGCCAAAGTACTTCTCAGAGTCAATGGGCTAAGTCACCCTTCAGCCTTCTCTTGAGCTTGGCTGTAACTGAAGTACTTACTGCAGATGTGTACCCCTGTTACCAGTGATCTGAATCACAACATAGCCATAACCTTCCATTTACTACTCCCGCAGGTTTTTTTTGTTTTCCTCCATAATTATTAGGAAAACTCAGTAACTTCACCCAAGAAGAGAGATCTTGGCAAGCCACCACCAAGACCGCTCCGGTCAGATGTGTGCATTCATTTTGTACTGTCATCTGAAATCATCAATTGATTATCAAATTTGTTCAGCCTGTGTTGCACTAACTTCGGAAACTGAATTTTTTGAGTTACTATGCGAAAAGCCACAGAGAAGTCTAAGTCTGTTGCATTGCAATAGCCAACTGCTTCAATTCAACACCTGTTTAACTTTTAGAAACCTGACTTCTGCCTTAAAAAAAAAAAAAAAACAAAAAGAAAAAACCAACCAAAAAAACCCAACCCGTGCTCCAAACTATACTACCAACCTTTAGCAACTGCACCTCATCGTAACTCCTAGCTGTATTTGACCAGAGGGATCTATACTTAGTGATCAGCGGTTAATCACATCACCCGTTCATGTTTTATAACCACTGACACATTTGGGAGGTTTTCCAAATTCCATGAAAGCTGCCCATTTTTCTAAGATGAGCTGACAAAAAAATCAAGGCTCATAGATCAAAAAGGTCCCTGCCCAATTTGTGTATAAACAAAGCAAACGCATACTGTTGGTATAAATTCTTGCGGATTTTTAAATGTTTTTACTTGAACACTCTTACTATCTTCCTCAGTTACTGCTTAAACAGACAGGATTTCATTTTGTCTACAATTTGTGAACATATCAGACAGCTTCTTCTGCTGACAAAAATAATTACACTTATACGACATTCATGCTTCTTTCCCCCTCACCAGTAGTCTTTACTTACTGCTATGCCTTTTTCCTTCATGTAAGTAAATCAAATCATTCACAGTAAAAACATATAAAAATGACACTGATAACAGAAAAAGCCCCCAAACACTGCTTCCCTCCATGTTAAAATTGCAGTAAGCATTCTATTTTCGCATATAACTTTTAACAGTAATCCTGATGCTGAATTATTGAATTATGTTCACAGGGACCGTAACTTCTAGGATGATTTTGTTTGCAAAAAACTTACCATCTGGAGCATATTTTGAAGCTATTCCCAAAAAAATCCCCAGTGCAACAAAAAGTGAAAGGCTAGAAATGGCAAAGCAAATGAGAGTATTTTTATGCCTGTTGGCTTCTGCCTGGCGGCGGTGCTGATCCACTGGTAAGGACGGGAGTCTTGTCCGGGCTTCTTGTCTCGCAGAGGTAAATTCGGCTGCAGCATGGCTCTGCGAAGGCGGCGGGGGACGGAGAGGGGCAATTCTCCCCGGGACGTATCCCGAAGACCTGTGACTGCTCCCGTTCTGAGGCCGGAGGAAAGCAGGGGAGCTCCCCCTGGCATCAGTGTCTTGCATGTTATAAAGTCACTGGAACATGCACACACACACAGAGGGGAAAAAATAAGAGACAGGCTTTCAGAATACAGACTACAATACATAAAAGAAAAAAAAGAAACAAACAAAAAAGCAATTTTAAGCCACATGCCTTCTTAAGAAGAACAGCCACTGAAACTGTGGCTATTTACAAAGTACCAGTCACTCAGTTGCTACCCGTCATTTGCCATGGTGTAACAGCTTGAAACAATAGTATATATGTCTTCAACAAAATTAAACTCAAAAGCATCTGGTATGGGAACACAGTACAGCACAGACCATTTCTTTGTAGTTCCACTAGGTATTTTTCACAGGGTGTTTTCACAGTTAACTTGTGTTATGCGATTAAGAAACAAGCTGAACAATGAGAAAGCTAGCAACCCCTTCTTCCCCACAGTTATGCAAAGAATGCCTAAATGTATTTCTTCTGCACACAGAAGCAGAACAAACTCCTCATTGTTTTCCTTTATGGAAAAGAAGCTGAAAGAGACAAGCCTGCCTTCCACACTGGAAGCAATAAAAAGCATTTAAATTTAATACATAAAATACCAAACACAATTTTATTTATATTCGTGCTGATACAACTTAGTCAGCACTTTTAATTAGCTGAGGCATACAGAGCCTGCAAACTCCTAATTTACTCACAGTGGGATTCGGTTGCTAGCAAAGGTACATCAGGAATGGTCCTGTAAGAAAGTCATCTGCATCTCGTTCAGCAAAGCTCATGGTTTTTCTTGTTGCTGAGATGCCTGGGTTTGGACACAAAGCCTGGAAGCAACATGACTGCTCCAGATCTCGGTACCTATCACCCAGAAGTGAGTGCTACTTTTATTTCAGTTACTAGTATTGTTTCCATCTTTTTCTGAAGCAACCAGTGAGGAAAGCCTACCAAAACCATCACTGCCTGGCCCATCCTCACCAGCAGTTCTGACCTACCACGCTTTTCTGGTTTGCTTTAAGAGACACAAAACTGCATTTGACTGTTTTCTCAGGCTTTCTGGTCAACCGTGTTGTATAGTATGGAGTATTCACAAAGCTGTCATGATTTTTTTTATTTTTAACATTTGTTAGTGATGGGATTTTTTGAGAAGGCTGCTCAAGTTTCAGTTAACTGAAACCGAACTTTCTAAACTAAATCCTGAAGGGGATTTAGGCATAAGTCATGTGTATTACATAGCAAAATGAATTATGAAAACAAAAACTACCAATAACAGAAGCGCATAAAGATCCTCTTTCTCTTCCATTAACAAAGGGAAGTCTGAGCTATACTCTGAAGTGCCAGGCACGCTGATGAAGGAGAAACATGACAATTGTAATCTTATTCTGAGAAGTAGCGAAGGAGCCTTTTGTCTCACATGCTGGAAAATCTGATACTTCACTGTTTCAAGGCAAAAGAGTTGTTATTATTGAACAGGCTGGATTACCCTTTCATGGGAGACAATGCATCTCCAGATGTACACACAATGACCATAAAGGCACTGAAACATTAACTGGAGCAGCCATCCCAGAGTGCAAAAATTATGCCAAGTCTTCCAGCAGTGTTTCCCGCACCTGTTCGTTGTAGCAAATTGATTTTTACCATTCTCTTTTCTGTTCTTTGAGAAACTATTTCCCAAACCTAATCCTCTGCTCTCAAACTTAACTGCCCAATGCATTATGAGCACTGTGGAACAGCTTGCTTTCACCACACGTGCTTTTACACTCAACTAGTCATCTTTCAGCATTTCAACCATTTCTATGTTTTAGAAGTGGTGTTAAAAGCTGAGTAGTAGAGAAGGAGCTTTTCAACTAATTCAAAGGCAGTATTTATGTCTAGCCGAAACAAATACTGAAGTATCTTTTTGATTAAAAATTTAAAGAAGCCTGATCCAGCATTGAGATTTTTTTACGGTTTGGACCCCCAACTCCTTAAAACTTGGTTAAAAAGTTTTTAGATATGGCATTTATCTGTCACACTGACAAAATGACTACAGAGTGTTCATTATAACATGATACAAGGAGTTAACAAGTTTGTTAATTGCTCATCTATATCAACTAAATCCAGAACGGTTATGCAAAACTTAACTTACTTTTACAAAGTAATTTTACCACAATTTTGCCTACTAAGGCCTCTTAAAGTACTGCTAGCCCTTTAAAGAAAAAAGTTGTCCATGACAACAGATATCGAAAACACTTGTGTCATATTTCAAGCATATTTTGTTTTCTACAAAGCATTCCGCCTTGTTTGCAAGGCTCATTTTGCAAACTGTAAAAGTTTTCCAACTATACCACTCAAGTGCACACACAGGTCACCCCAAGGACGGGTGGAAAAGAGACTGCAGAATCACTGCCTTACCATTACAAAATAAAAATAATGAAACAAAGCCATAAGGAGATACTTAGCATAATCAAAAGATTTACTATATAGTTTTCCACTACGACAAGAGTCACCATCTCAACGCTTCCTTCCCTCTTCCTGTGTTATTTGAAATTCTCTAGCTGAAAGAAGGATCTTTTCTATCCTGTAGAGCAGCTACTGGCTTTTCTTTAAAATTAAGACACATTGATAATCTGATTCAAATTACTGACTTGTTTACTTCCACTCTGTGGAAGTCTTGAGATAGCACCACACAAATGCAAGTGTAGTAATTGGCTATATGGCTAGTTATGCCCTAGAGAGTAAGGTTATTTGGTTGCACAAATACAGGTTGAGTAAAATGCAGGGGGGGAAATCTGTTTGAACTATTTTAATACCACATTTCCTTGCAAGTTCCCATGCACCTGAATTTTTCCATGTAACACCTTCTTTTTCCGCCCAAGGTTTACCATTTCCCTTTGACCTGTGCCTATGCTGCATTCCTTTAAAAAAAAAAAGGGGGCAAAAAAATGTTGAGATCAAAGGCCCCAGGAGACCATCTGCAACTAAAAACAGCAGAGAGGACTGGCTCCTGTCACCAGGATCTCCTAAACCCACAGAAGGAGGAAGTCTCCTAAAGGAGCTCATGTTCTGGGCATCTCCTCCTGATGCTGCAGTCCTAGACAAGAATACCACCACTTTTACAATTGTACTGTAGTGTAGAGAGTGATGCAGTATTTTACTTTGCAGCTTGCTTCAGAGTGATTTCAGTAAAAGTCAAGTTCTTGCACAATAAAAAAAACACGATTACCTTACCTAACAGCATTATATAGAATTCAGTATATACAAATCTGTTATTTGCCATGCCATTCAGGCAGGCTGCTATCTCAGTATTCTCCAACTTCTTGCCCTTCAGCCTTCAACAGGCTGAATATGCCGTATTTTCAAATCCATTATCCACCACAGCTTTTAGTCAAGGCCACACGTAAGGATGTGCTTCCAGCTCACCAGTACCAGGGAAGCTTCCAACGCATGGATTCGGCTAGAGCACCTCAGACGCTTCAGCCCACTATGTACTCGTTACCACACACCTGCTGGAAGGCTACTACACTATTTGCATGTCACTTTTGCAAGAGTAGTGCTACTCCACACAATCCAGATTTCTGCTTGAGCACTCCTTCTCACAACATAAGCAAGCAAGCACTTCTCATACTCATGAGATCAGCCCACTCAGCTTAAACCACCTTAAAAAAAAGGAAAGTTTATTTTGCACAGCATCTAAGTAAAAACACTGATTACCTGCAAGTCTGGCTCTGCCAACAGAGCATCTGAGCTGTGTGTATAGCAAACCCCAGCAGGCAGACAGCAATGAGCCACTGAACAAGCTGCAACACCTCCAGTCTCACATATTCCTTCTCCACTTTTAACTTGTGCCACTACTACACACTCATACAAGCCCACATTGTTCCACACTGGCAGAAACTAGAGACACATGCACCGTACAACCAAGGGATAACATCTGAACCTCCCGAGACACGAGCGCGTGCTCAGAAGCAAGCAGCATGCTTATCTGTTACGTGGTTCGGGGCTGGTTTCCTGGAAAGGAATCTGATTCTTTCACAAGGTAATTCAAAATATCACCTGACAGCACCCAAAATGTGAGAAATATACCAAGATATTTCATACTTTTCTGCTGTCAAATGCTTAGTGTAACAGAACATGTCAAACGCTAGAAAACTCCCGCACCCTTGCACCTTCTCAAAACTTTGTAAACAAAGTACACTTACTTCCATACCATGCAAAGAAATTAATACTTCCCTTAAAGTATATTTTAAGAATGCATAGTTCACAGGTCTTAAAAATAAAAGAGAAACTAGAAGAAACCCCACTTCTGTTGCTCTGGGTTATCAAACACCACCAGCTGTAGTGCTGTCCTATTACCACATCGTTTAATCTCAGAGTATATAATTGCCATTAAGGAAAAGACTGAGGAAGGGTTGGGGAAAGCCACACGCATCAAGAAAAATATTTCCCCATGCAATACAGTGCCACATTGGTTACTGCTGCTTTCTTGGCACTGACACTTGTCTGGTATGAGATCAAAGGGCAGTGAGAAACCCAAGAGAAGGGAAAGGGACAAGAAGTCAGTATTGAAAAGCTCCCACATAGCTACAATTACTGAACAGAAAGTGGTGTAAAGCAAAATCCTGAAGTATGACATGCACATCTTTACAAGCCTCCAAGCTGGTCAACTACAACAGAGATACGAATTTCAGGACAATGTTTCAAGTGCCTTAGAAGTCCCCAGTTCAACAAATGTTAACCTCACCATTACGGAAATGAATGGTTCCCAGTAGACACATGCTTTCCTACCTGGTTCCACATTTTCTTCCTCTGCCTTGTTTTGGAAATTATACCTATTCACTACGATAATAAACAGCATGTTTGTAGGAACCTACTTTTCCACCCACGTGTGCAAAAGCTGGAGAGAATATATGTGCACAGTAAAACACATTAACACAGTTAAGTAACTGTTGGAAATCACAACAATGTTTATAACAGCCTGAAAAATCCCAGTTGACTTAAAAAAGTGTAAAAACTCTAGACCCCTTCTATCACATACGCTGTTTGCTGCATGCCACCACTG